CCCATCTCCCCCCACCATCTCCCCACCCCACCCTCTCCCCCCCCACTATCTCCCCCCACCATCTCCCCACCCCACCATCTCCCCCCCCCATCTCCCCCCACCATCTTCCCCCCACCATCTCCCCACCCCACCATCTTCCCCCCCACCTCTCCCCCCCCCACCATCTCCCCCCCCACCATCTCCCCCCCCACCATCTCCCCCCCCACCATCTCCCCCCCCACCATCTCCCCCCCACCATCTTCCCCCCACCATCTCCCCACCCCACCATCTCCCCTCCACCATCTCCCCCCACCCCACCCATCTCCCCCCACCATCTCCCCCCACCCCACCATCTCCCCACCCCACCATCTCCCCACCCACCATCTCTTCCCACCATCTCCCTTCCACCATCTCCCCCCACCCCACCATCTCCCCACCCCACATCTCCCCCCACCATCATCCCCCCCCCACCATCTCCCCCCCACCATCTCCCTTCCACCATCTCCCCCTCACCATCTCCCCCCCACCATCTCCCCCCCCCCCCCCACCATCTCCCCCCCACCATCTTCCCCCCACCATCTCCCCACCCCACCATCTCCCCCCCACCATCTTCCCCCCACCATCTCCCCCCCACCATCTCCCCACCCCACCATCTCCCCCCCACCATCTCCCCCCCACCATCTCCCCACCCCACCATCTCCCCCCCACCATCTCCCCCCCACCATCTTCCCCCCACCATCTCCCCACCCCACCATCTTCCCCCCACCATCTCCCCCCCCCCACCATCTCCCCCCCCACCATCTCCCCCCCCACCATCTCCCCCCCCACCATCTCCCCCCCACCATCTCCCCCCCACCATCTTCCCCCCACCATCTCCCCACCCCACCATCTCCCCTCCACCATCTCCCCCCACCCCACCATCTCCCCCCCACCATCTCCCCCCACCCCACCATCTTCCCCCCACCATCTCCCCACCCCACCATCTTCCCCCCACCATCTCCCCCCACCCCACCATCTCCCCACCCCACCATCTCCCCACCCCACCATCTCTTCCCACCATCTCCCTTCCACCATCTCCCCCCACCCCACCATCTCCCCACCCCACATCTCCCCCCACCATCTCCCCCCCCCCACCATCTCCCCCCCACCATCTCCCTTCCACCATCTCCCCCTCACCATCTCCCCCCCACCATCTCCCCCCCCCCCCCCCACCATCTCCCCACCCCACCATCTCCCCACCCCACCATCTCCCCCCACCATCTTCCCCCCACCATCTCCCCACCCACCATCTCCCCCCCCCCCCCCACCATCTCCCTCCCCCCACCAGCGGCGAGGCAGCACTGCGTCCGAGCGCTCGCTGGCCGTGGGCGTCCTTGCGGAGACGGTGGCGGTGCTGGACTGCCGCTGCTGCCGGCGCTTTGCCGGGCGCCTGCTGCCGGCGCTGGCCGAGTCGGCGCGCGACGGCGACCCCGAGGTGCGCGGCAACGCCGTCTACGGCCTCGGCGTGCTGGCACACGGCGCACGAGACGTGCTAGCACCGTATCACACACACACACAGAGACACGTGTATACACACAGACATACACACAGACACACACACACACAGACACACACACACGTGTATACACACACACACACACAGTCACACACAGACACACACACACAGACACACACAGAGACACACAGACACGTGTATACACACAGAGACACACACAGACACACAGACAGACACACACAGACACACACAGACAGTCACACACACACAGACACACACACACGTGTATACACACACACAGACACACAGACACACAGACAGACACACACAGACACACAGACACACACAGACACACACACACAGACACACACACAGACAGTCGTGTGCGTAGACGCGACTGCCGCCACTGCCGCCACCACCCTTGACGGAGGCCGCCCCAGACACACACACACAGACACATAGACACACACAGACACACACACAGACACACACACACAGACACATAGACACACATAGACACACACAGACACACACAGACACACACACAGACACACACACAGACACATAGACACACACAGACACACACACAGACACACACAGACACACACACAGACACACACACAGACAGACACACACACACACACGTGTATACACACACAGACACACACAGACACAGACAGACAGACACACGTGTATACACACAGACACACACACACACAGACACACACACAGACACACAGACACACACAGTCACACACAGACACACACAGACACACAGACACACACACACAGACACACACACAGACAGACAGTCGTGTGCGTAGACGCCACTGCCGCCACTGCCGCCACCGCCCTTGACGGAGGCCGCCCCAGACACACACACACAGACACATAGACACACACACAGACACACAGACACACACACACACAGACACACAGACACACACACAGACACAGACACACACACAGACACACACACACACACGTGTATACACACACAGACACACACAGACACAGACAGACAGACACACGTGTACACACACAGACACACAGACACACACACAGACACACACAGACACACACACACACAGACACACACACACACAGACACACACACAGACACACACACACAGACACATAGACACACACAGACACACACACAGACACACACACACACGTGTATACACACACAGACACACACAGACACAGACAGACAGACACACGTGTATACACACAGACACACACACACAGACACATTGACACACACAGACACACACACAGACACACACACACAGACACATAGACACACACAGACACACACACACACACAGACACACACACAGACACACACACACACACAGACACAGACAGACAGACACACACAGACACACACAGAGACACACACACACAGACACATAGACACACACAGACACACACACAGACACACACACAGACACACACACACACGTGTATACACACACAGACACACACACACACGTGTATACACACACAGACACACACAGACACAGACAGACAGACACACACAGACACACACAGACACACACACAGACAGACACAGACACACACACAGACACACACACACACACACAGACACACACACAGACACACACACACACACACAGACACACACACACACACAGACAGTCGTGTGCGTAGACGCCACTGCCGCCACTGCCGCCACCGCCCTTGACGGAGGCCGCCCCAGACACACACACACAGACACATAGACACACACAGACACACAGACACACACACACACACAGACACACACACACACACACAGACACACACACAGACACACACACACACACAGAGACAGTCGTGTGCGTCGACGCCACTGCCGCCCCACCGCCCTTGACGGAGGCCGCCCCAGACACTTGCCGCTGCTGCTGGGGCTGCTGTCGACGGCGCTGTCCAGCGAGGAGAACCGCCGTGTGCTGGACAACGCCTGCGGCGCACTCGCACGCATCATCACCAGCGCCAGCCCCTCGCTGCTCGTGCCTGTGGAGCAGGTGGGCGGACGTGGACGTGGACGTGGGTGGGCGGGCGTGGACGTGGACGTGGGTGTTGGTGGGTGGACGTGGGTGGGTGGACGTGGACGTGGGTGGGCGGGCGTGGACGTGGACGTGGGTGTTGGTGGGTGGACGTGGACGTGGGTGGGGGTGGGTGGACGTGGGTGGGTGGACATGGGTGGGTGGGTGGGTGGACGGGTGGATGTGGGTGGGTGGACATGGGTGGGTGGACGTGGGTGGCTGGACATGGGTGGGTGGGTGGGTGGGCGGGCGGGCGTGGGTGGGTGGGGGGGTGGGCGTGGGTGGGTGGGTGGGTGGATGTGGGTGGGTGGACATGGGTGGGTGGGTGGACATGGGTGGGTGGGTGGACATGGGTGGGTGGGTGGACATGGGTGGATGGGTGGACATGGGTGGATGGGTGGGCGTGGGTGGGTGGACATGGGTGGGTGGACGTGGGTGGGTGGGCGTGGGTGGGTGGACATGGGTGGGTGGGTGGGTGGGCGGGCGGGCGGGCGTGGGTGGGTGGACGTGGGTGGGTGGGTGGGCGGGTGGACGTGGGTGGGCGGGTGGACGTGGGTGGGTGGGTGGACGTGGGTGGGTGGACGTGGGTGGGTGGGTGGATGTGGGTGGGCGTGGGTGGGTGGACGCAGGCGGACGATCCGACGTGTGTGTCTGTGTGTGCCTATCCCCCCTCTCCCCCCTCTCTCCCCCAGGTGTTCCCGGCCATGCTGCAGGCGCTGCCCCTGGTGGAGGACCTGGAGGAGAACACCGCCGTGTTCACCTGTGTGACACAACTCTACCAGGCCACAGGACTCACACAGGTGACGAGGTGGTGAGGCTAGACTCACACAGGAGAACACCGCCGTGTTCACCTGTGTGACACAACTCTACCAGGCCACAGGACTCACACAGGTGACGAGGTGGTGAGGCTAGACTCACACAGGTGACGAGGTGGTGAGGCTAGACTCACACAGGAGAACACCGCCGTGTTCACCTGTGTGACACAACTCTACCAGGCCACAGGGCTCACACAGGTGACGAGGTGGTGAGGCTAGACTCACACAGGTGACGAGGTGGTGAGGCTAGACTCACACAGGTGAACACCGCCGTGTTCACCTGTGTGACACAACTCTACCAGGCCACAGGACTCACACAGGTGACGAGGTGGTGAGGCTAGACTCACACAGGAGAACACCGCCGTGTTCACCTGTGTGACACAACTCTACCAGGCCACAGGGCTCACACAGGTGACGAGGTGGTGAGGCTAGACTCACACAGGAGAACACCGCCGTGTTCACCTGTGTGACACAACTCTACCAGGCCACAGGGCTCACACAGGTGACGAGGTGGTGAGGCTAGACTCACACAGGTGACGAGGTGGTGAGGCTAGACTCACACAGGAGAACACCGCCGTGTTCACCTGTGTGACACAACTCTACCAGGCCACAGGGCTCACACAGGTGACGAGGTGGTGAGGCTAGACTCACACAGGTGACGAGGTGGTGAGGCTAGACTCACACAGGAGAACACCGCCGTGTTCACCTGTGTGACACAACTCTACCAGGCCACAGGGCTCACACAGGTGACGAGGTGGTGAGGCTAGACTCACACAGGTGAACACCGCCGTGTTCACCTGTGTGACACAACTCTACCAGGCCACAGGGCTCACACAGGTGACGAGGTGGTGAGGCTAGACTCACACAGGAGAACACCGCCGTGTTCACCTGTGTGACACAACTCTACCAGGCCACAGGGCTCACACAGGTGACGAGGTGGTGGGGCTAGACTCACACAGGAGAACACCGCCGTGTTCACCTGTGTGACACAACTCTACCAGGCCACAGGGCTCACACAGGTGACGAGGTGGTGAGGCTAGACTCACACAGGAGAACACCGCCGTGTTCACCTGTGTGACACAACTCTACCAGGCCACAGGGCTCACACAGGTGACGAGGTGGTGAGGCTAGACTCACACAGGTGACGAGGTGGTGAGGCTAGACTCACACAGGTGACGAGGTGGTGAGGCTAGACTCACACAGGAGAACACCGCCGTGTTCACCTGTGTGACACAACTCTACCAGGCCACAGGGCTCACACAGGTGACGAGGTGGTGAGGCTAGACTCACACAGGAGAACACCGCCGTGTTCACCTGTGTGACACAACTCTACCAGGCCACAGGACTCACACAGGTGACGAGGTGGTGAGGCTAGACTCACACAGGAGAACACCGCCGTGTTCACCTGTGTGACACAACTCTACCAGGCCACAGGGCTCACACAGGTGAGGTGGTGGGGCTAGACTCACACAGGAGAACACCGCCGTGTTCACCTGTGTGACACAACTCTACCAGGCCACAGGGCTCACACAGGTGACGAGGTGGTGAGGCTGGCTGGGCTCACACAGGTGAGGTGGTGAGGCTAGACTCACACAGGAGAACATCGCCGTGTTCACCTGTGTGACACAACTCTACCAGGCCACAGGGCTCACACAGGTGACGAGGTGGTGAGGCTAGACTCACACAGGTGAGGTGGTGAGGCTAGACTCACACAGGTGAGGTGGTGAGGCTGGACTCACACAGGTGAGGTGGTGAGGCTGGACTCACACAGGAGAACACCGCCGTGTTCACCTGTGTGACACAACTCTACCAGGCCACCGGACTCACACAGGTGACGAGGTGGTGGGGCTAGACTCACACAGGAGAACACCGCCGTGTTCACCTGTGTGACACAACTCTACCAGGCCACAGGACTCACACAGGTGACGAGGTGGTGAGGCTAGACTCACACAGGAGAACACCGCCGTGTTCACCTGTGTGACACAACTCTACCAGGCCACAGGGCTCACACAGGTGACGAGGTGGTGAGGCTAGACTCACACAGGAGAACACCGCCGTGTTCACCTGTGTGACACAACTCTACCAGGCCACAGGGCTCACACAGGTGACGAGGTGGTGGGGCTAGACTCACACAGGAGAACACCGCCGTGTTCACCTGTGTGACACAACTCTACCAGGCCACAGGACTCACACAGGTGACGAGGTGGTGAGGCTAGACTCACACAGGAGAACACCGCCGTGTTCACCTGTGTGACACAACTCTACCAGGCCACAGGGCTCACACAGGTGAGGTGGTGAGGCTAGACTCACACAGGTGACGAGGTGGTGAGGCTAGACTCACACAGGTGACGAGGTGGTGAGGCTAGACTCACACAGGAGAACACCGCCGTGTTCACCTGTGTGACACAACTCTACCAGGCCACCGGACTCACACAGGTGACGAGGTGGTGAGGCTAGACTCACACAGGAGAACACCGCCGTGTTCACCTGTGTGACACAACTCTACCAGGCCACAGGGCTCACACAGGTGACGAGGTGGTGAGGCTAGACTCACACAGGAGAACACCGCCGTGTTCACCTGTGTGACACAACTCTACCAGGCCACCGGACTCACACAGGTGACGAGGTGGTGAGGCTAGACTCACACAGGAGAACACCGCCGTGTTCACCTGTGTGACACAACTCTACCAGGCCACCGGACTCACACAGGTGACGAGGTGGGGCCGGCCTCACACAGGTGAGGAGGTGGGGCTAGACTCATACAGGTGAGGAGGTGGGGCCGGACTCACACGAAGGGGGGAAGGGAGGAGGAGGCTCGTGAAGTACGCTGCTGCTGGGCAGGCTAGGTGCACCGTGAGGCTACTGGGCCAGTGCCAGGCTAGGTGCACCTTGAGGCTGCTGGGCAGTGCCAGGCTAGGTGCACCTTGAGGCTACTGGGCAGTGCCAGGCTAGGTGCACCTTGAGGCTACTGGGCAGTGCCAGGCTAGGTGCACCTTGAGGCTACTGGGCAGTGCCAGGCTAGGTGCACCTTGAGGCTACTGGGCAGTGCCAGGCTAGGTGCACCTTGAGGCTACTGGGCCAGTGCCAGGCTAGGTGCACCTTGAGGCTGCTGGGCAGTGCCAGACTAGGTGCACCTTGAGACTGCTGGGCAGTGCCAGGCTAGGTGCACCTTGAGGATGCTGGGCAGTGCCAGGCTAGGTGCACCGTGAGGCTACTGGGGCCAGTGCCAGGCTAGGTGCACCTTGAGGCTACTGGGCAGTGCCAGGCTAGGTGCACCTTGAGGCTACTGGGGGCGGTGCCAGGCTAGGTGCACTGTGAGGCTACTGGGCCAGTGCCAGGCTAGGTGCACCTTGAGGCTACTGGGGCAGCTGGAGGCAGTCGCCCTCCAGCAACAACAGCGGAGGGTGACAGGAGCGACGCTCACAACAACGAGCGGAGCGCCGGGGTGGATAAAACGAGTTGGCACAGTGGGGGGCACAGGCGGTGCACCTAGCCTGGCACAGCAGGGGGCACAGGCGGTGGTGCATCGGCCACTCATCTCAGTCGGTCAACCCAAGGCACCTGCTGGGTCTGTCCCGTGACCTCCTCCCCATGCACCTAGCCTGGCACAGCAGTCAACCCATGGCACCTGCTTTGGCTGTCACCGACTGTCGTTTTGGCTGTCACCGACTGTAGTTTTGGCTGTTACTGACTGTAGTTTTGGCTGTCACCGACTGTAGTTTTGGCTGTGACCGACTGTAGTTTTGGCTGTCACCGACTGTAGTTCTGGCTGTGACCGACTGCCATTTCGGCTGTGACCGACTGTAGTTTTGGCTGAGACCGACTGTAGTTTCTGGCTGTGACCGACTGTAGTTTTGGCTGTCACCGACTGTAGTTCTGGCTGTGACCGACTGCCATTTCGGCTGCGGCCGACTGTAGTTTTGGCTGAGACCGACTGTAGTTTCTGGCTGTCACCGACTGTAGTTTTTGGCTGTGACCGGCTGTAGTTTCGGCTGTCACCGACTGTAGTTTTGGCTGTTACAGACTGTAGTTCTGGCTGTGACCGGCTGTAGTTCCGGCTGTGACCGACTGTAGTTTTGGCTGTCACCGACTGTCGTTTTTGGCTGTTACCGACTGTAGTTTTGGCTGTGACCGACTGTAGTTCTGGCTGTCACCGACTGTAGTTTCGGCTGTCACCGACTGTAGTTTTGGCTGTTACCGACTGTAGTTTTGCCTGTCACCGACTGTAGTTTTGGCTGCGACCGACTGTGGTTTTGGCTGTCACCGACTGTCGTTTTGGCTGCGGCCGACTGTAGTTTTGGCTGTTACCGGCTGTAGTTTTGGCTGTTACCGACTGCAGTTCTGGCTGTCACCGACTGTAGTTCTGGCTGTCACCGACTGTAGTTTTGGCTGTCACCGACTGTAGTTTTGGCTGTCACCGACTGTAGTTTTGACTGTCGCTGCAGGTTTTGCAGAACCTGGGTCCTGTGCTCAGAGCGGTTGGACACGTCCTGGGCACGACGCAAATCACCGAGGGTGAGCTACGAACACAGTCACACAGACAGTCACACAGACAGTCACACACACAGTCACACACAGTCACACAGTCACACACACAGTCACACACACAGTCACACACAGTCACACAGTCACACACACAGTCACACACACAGTCACACAGACAGTCACACACACAGTCACACACAGTCACACAGTCACACACACAGTCACACACACAGTCACACACAGTCACACAGTCACACACACAGTCACACACACAGTCACACACAGTCACACAGTCACACACACAGTCACACACACAGTCACACACACAGACACACACACAGACAGTCACACACACAGTCACACACAGTCACACAGTCACACACACAGTCACACACACAGTCACACACACAGTCACACACAGTCACACAGTCACACACACAGTCACACACACAGTCACACAGACAGTCACACACACAGTCACACACAGTCACACAGTCACACACACAGTCACACACACAGTCACACACACAGTCACACACAGTCACACAGTCACACACACAGTCACACACACAGTCACACACACAGTCACACACACAGTCACACACAGTCACACAGTCACACACACAGTCACACACACAGTCACACACAGTCACACAGTCACACACACAGTCACACACACAGTCACACACAGTCACACAGTCACACACACAGTCACACACACAGACACACACACAGACAGTCACACACACAGTCACACACAGTCACACAGTCACACACACAGTCACACACACAGTCACACACACAGTCACACACAGTCACACAGTCACACACACAGTCACACACACAGTCACACAGACAGTCACACACACAGTCACACACAGTCACACAGTCACACACACAGTCACACACACAGTCACACACAGTCACACAGTCACACACACAGTCACACACACAGTCACACACAGTCACACAGTCACACACACAGTCACACACACAGTCACACACACAGACACACACACAGACAGTCACACACACAGTCACACACACAGTCACACACACAGTCACACACACAGTCACACACACAGTCACACACAGTCACACACACAGTCACACACACAGTCACACACACAGTCACACACAGTCACACACAGTCACACACACAGTCACACACACAGTCACACACAGTCACACAGTCACACACACAGTCACACACACAGTCACACACACAGTCACACACACAGACACACACACAGACAGTCACACACACAGTCACACACACAGTCACACACACAGTCACACACACAGTCACACACAGTCACACACACAGTCACACACACAGTCACACACACAGTCACACACACAGTCACACACAGTCACACACACAGTCACACACACAGTCACACACACAGTCACACACAGACAGTCACACACACAGTCACACACACAGTCACACACACAGTCACACTCACACACAGTCACGCACACAGTCACACACACACACAGTCACACACACAGTCACACACACAGTCACACACTCACACACAGTCACACACACAGTCACACACACAGTCACACAGTCACACACACAGTCACGCACACAGTCACACACACAGTCACACACACACAGTCACACACACAGTCACACACACAGACAGTCACACACACAGTCACACACACAGTCACACAGACAGTCACACACAGACAGTCACACACACAGTCACACACACAGTCACACACACACACACAGTCACGCACACAGTCACACACACACTCACACACAGTCACACACACAGTCACACACACACAGTCACACACACAGTCACACACACACTCACACACAGTCACACACACAGTCACACACACAGTCACACAGTCACACACACAGTCACGCACACAGTCACACACACAGTCACACACACACAGTCACACACACAGTCACACACACAGACAGTCACACACACAGTCACACACACAGTCACACAGACAGTCACACACAGACAGTCACACACACAGTCACACATACAGTCACACACACAGTCACACACACAGTCACACACACAGTCACACACACAGTCACACACACAGTCACACACACAGTCACACACACAGTCACACACACAGTCACACAGACAGTCACACAGACAGTCACACAGACAGTCACACACACAGTCACACACACAGACACACACACAGACACACACACAGACACACACACACACAGTCACACACACAGTCACACACACAGTCACACACACACAGTCACACACACACAGTCACACACACAGTCACACACACAGTCACACACACAGTCACACAGACAGTCACACAGACAGTCACACACACAGTCACACACACAGTCACACACACAGTCACACACAGAGTCACACGCACAGAGTCACACGCACAGTCACACGCACAGTCACACACACACAGTCACACACACACAGTCACACACACACAGTCACACACACACAGTCACACACACACAGTCACACACACACAGTCACACACACACAGTCACACACACAGTCACACACACACAGTCACACACACACAGTCACACACACACAGTCACACACACACAGTCACACACACAGTCACACACACAGTCACACACACACAGTCACACACACAGTCACACAGACAGACAGTCAGTCACACAGTCACACACACAGTCACACACACAGTCACACACACAGTCACACACACAGTCACACACACAGTCACACACAGTCACACACAGTCACACACAGTAACACACAGTCACACACACAGTCACACACACAGTCACACACACAGTCACACACAGTCACACACAGTAACACACAGTCACACACACAGTCACACACACAGTCACACACACACAGTCACACACACACAGTCACACACACACAGTCACACACACACAGTCACACACACACAGTCACACACACAGTCACACACACACAGTCACACACACAGTCACACACACACAGTCACACACACAGTCACACACACAGTCACACACAGTCACACACAGTCACACACAGTAACACACAGTCACACACACAGTCACACAGACAGTCACACACACACAGTCACACACACACAGTCACACACACACAGTCACACACACAGTCACACACACACAGTCACACACACAGTCACACACACAGTCACACACACAGTCACACACACACAGTCACACACACACAGTCACACACACAGTCACACACACAGTCACACACACACAGTCACACACACACAGTCACACACACACAGTCACACACACAGTCACACACACAGTCACACACACACAGTCACACACACAGTCACACACACAGTCACACACACAGTCACACACACAGTCACACACACAGTCACACAGACAGTCAGTCACACAGTCACACACACAGTCACACACACAGTCACACACACACAGTCACACACACAGTCACACACACAGTCACACACAGTCACACAGACAGTCACACACAGTCACACACAGTAACACACAGTCACACAGACAGTCACACACACAGTCACACACACAGTCACACACACACAGTCACACACACACAGTCACACACACAGTCACACACACAGTCACACACACAGTCACACACACAGTCACACACACAGTCACACACACAGTCACACACACACAGTCACACACACACAGTCACACACACACAGTCACACACACACAGTCACACACACAGTCACACACACAGTCACACACACAGTCACACACACAGTCACACACACAGTCACACACAGACAGTCACACACACACAGTCACACACACACAGTCACACACACAGTCACACACACAGTCACACACACAGTCACACACACAGTCACACACACAGTCACACACACAGTCAGTCACACAGACAGTCAGTCACACAGACAGTCAGTCACACAGACAGTCAGTCACACAGTCACACACACAGTCACACACACAGTCACACACACAGTCACACACACACAGTCACACACACACAGTCACACACACACAGTCACACACACAGTCACACACACAGTCACACACACAGTCACACACAGTCACACAGACAGTCACACACAGTCACACAGTCACACAGTCACACACAGTAACACACAGTCACACACACAGTCACACACACAGTCACAGACAGTCACACACACAGTCACACACAGACAGTCACACACACACAGTCACACACACACAGTCACACACACACAGTCACACACACAGTCACACACACAGTCACACACACAGTCACACACAGTCACACAGTCACACACACAGTCACACACACAGTCACACAGACAGTCACACACACAGTCACACACACAGTCACACACAGTCACACAGTCACACACACAGTCACACACACAGTCACACACACAGTCACACACAGTCACACACACACACACAGTCACACACACAGTCACACAGACAGTCACACACACAGTCACACACAGTCACACAGTCACACACACAGTCACACACACAGTCACACACACACACAGTCACACACACAGTCACACACACAGTCACACACAGTCACACAGTCACACACACAGTCACACACACAGTCACACACACAGACACACACACAGACAGTCACACACACAGTCACACACAGTCACACAGTCACACACACAGTCACACACACAGTCACACACACAGTCACACACAGTCACACAGTCACACACACAGTCACACACACAGTCACACAGACAGTCACACACACAGTCACACACAGTCACACAGTCACACACACAGTCACACACACAGTCACACACACACTCACACACACAGTCACACACACAGTCACACACAGTCACACAGTCACACACACAGTCACACACACAGTCACACACACAGACACACACACAGACAGTCACACACACAGTCACACACACAGTCACACACACAGTCACACACACAGTCACACACACAGTCACACACACAGTCACACACAGTCACACACACAGTCACACACACAGTCACACACACAGTCACACACAGTCACACACAGTCACACACACAGTCACACACA